CAGAGCAGGCGGGCGCGCGCGGCGGTGAGGTTGCCGGGCCCGGGCCGGGGCGCGCTCCGCGAGAGGCGGCGGCTCGGCGGGCAGCCCCACACGCACAGCTGCAGGTCCTGCTCGTCCGGGAAGGCGGACGCCACCTCGGCGGCCGCCCGGATGGCGAAGGACAGGTGGCGGCCCACCTGGCGCACGGCGATGGTGGCGCCGATGTGCGCGGCGCGGATCTCCACCTGCTGCCGCGCCTGGCGCTCGCGGATGAGCAGCCCGCTGCCCCCGGGCCTCTCGCCGCCCGTCACGGAGCCGTCCACGAAGGCGGCCGGCAGGTCCCCCGCCTCGGCCTGGTAGACCCTCTCCTCGGTGCACTCCGGCGCGCCCTTGAAGATGATGGTGAGCTGCAAGGCAGAGCGCACCGCAGCTGAGCGCCCAGCCGCCGTGCGCGCCGGCGCTGCGCCCCCTGCTCCGCGCTGCGCGGCTCGTGCAGCCCAGGACCCGCGTCCCTTCCGGAGGAGCTCTCGGGGGCCGCACGGGGCTAACGGGGAGCAGCCAACCCCGCCCCCCTTCCAGCGGAGTGCGGCTTAAGGCTCTTCTCGTGGGTCCCTGAGCCTGAACCGAAGCTCCAAAGGGGGCAGGGCCCGCCCAGAGACTGGTGGCGCGGTGAAGGGGGGCGGGCCGGTGGGGGAGGGCCTGATTCACCCCTGGGCTTTGGGTCCCCCCCCCCGCCATTTGCACCTCGTTGAGGGAGAAAGCTGCCTTCCAGCTGGAAGACTGAGAGATCTCTGGGTGGAGATCTCTGGCTGCTGAAGAGAGAAAATGCTGACAGAACGCCACCTTCTTTTCTCTCAGAGGGGAACGGCTGGGGTTATTTGCCCCGGGGGGGGCAGGAACCCCAGTTTTTTGGGAGCTGTTCTCAGCCCTCTTGCTTGAACAAGACTCTCAGGGGGGTGGCAAGGAAGCACCCCCAAAGAACCCGGGGCCAGCGGGGCAGGCCGGGAGGCTCTCTGAGGCCGGCCGAGGCCGACGGAAGCTGCCACTGCCCTGCCCGTGCCCCCTCTCCGACCCTCCTGCGTGGGGCAACCGGGTGCCACCTCACCCCAACCAGGCTCGGCACGAATGATCTCCTCCGACTGGCAGCGGCGACGCAGTCCGCCCCCCCCCCGCCCCTCTGCAGACCCCTTCATCCCACAGCGCACCATTCGCACCATTCCCAGACCCCGCCCCGGGCTGCCCCTTGTGCACTTCCCCCTGCGGCTTTCCCAGCAGCTCGGCCACCGGCGGCCTCTCTCCTTTGCCCGGGTCGCCTCCGCGGGAAGGCCTGGCGCAGCCACGCCACCTGCCCTGCCATCTGGCTCTCCAGCAGCTGAAGCCCTTGCTGGAAAGGCCTCGCAAAGCCCCCGGACCACCCCCCCCCCCCCCCCCCCGGTGCACTCACAAGTGCAGCAAACTGCGAGACAGCAGCCCGGCCCGCTTCCCGAGGCCCCAGCTGCCTGCGTCTACGGAACCGGAATTCCGATTCACGTAAGGGGGGCCAGGCAGCCAATGCCGCCGAAAGACTTAGCAATCCTGTTCCTTCTCTGTCCCCTTTCCACTTGCGGGTCGTGTCTATTCCAGCTGGAACCCCACATGCATCTAGGGTGGTTTTACTCATTGCATCTAGGAGATTTCTGGCAGAGGCGCAGGATAAAAATTTCTAAATAAATAAAAGGTGATTATTACCGATCTTGAGCCAGCTCGACAGCAAATAGCTCTGCATGCCTGCTCAGAGGAAAGCCTGAGCCACAGGCTGTGTCACAAGCAAGAGGGCATGCCGCCGCATGTCTACTCGAGAGTAAACAGGGCAGGCCACAGAAGCAAGCAGGGCTGACTCTGCAGCTGCTTCTCTGCGCTTGGCCCTCTCCCCCGGGGAAGCTCTGCTCTCCACCCAGCAGCCGGACGGACGGAGAGCCCCATAGCCCGCAGGTGCCCAGGCCGGCCTCTCCAGTCCTGCCGCTCCCGGACAGAGTCCGGTATTCCCAGCCCTGCCAGCCAAGATGCTTTAATAGGCAGCCAGGGGCCAAACCCAGAGGCCTGGCTGGACACGGCACAGAAGCAGAGGGAGTTCTCTCAAGAAAGATCGGAGCGCCTGCCCATCCGGGCGGGGGCTGTCCCTGATCCCAGGAGGAGACCTCCCTCTCCCTGCCAGGGATGGATCCCCGGAGGTTCAGAATATGTGCCACAGCCTTGGCACAGGCAGGCATTCTGCCGGGAAGGCTCGCTTGATTTAAGAAGCTGCGGAAGCCTTTGTCCAACGACTCCGAGAGCTCCACTTTTACCTTGCTCGTGGCGGTGGCGCGCGACCCCCTGACGACGGGCTGACTCGTGGCCTGCACGAACAAGAAGTTGTTGTCGATCAGTGGCCAGGAGCCGTCCGCGTGGCAGGTGTGGAACTCGTCGTGGAAAGTCCGCACGTGGCAGTCCCCGAACGTGGCGCAGTAGCGGTACTGCGGGGGCCGGCCAAACTTGCGGGCGAAGTTCTTCTCGTAGTCGCAGAGGTCCAGGGCGGCGAGCCCCTCCTGGTCGGGGGCCGGCACGGGGGGCCGCGGCGGGGAGGTTGGCCCCACCTTGGAGCAGTTGCTCTGGATCATGAGGTCCTCGATCCCGTAGACGGCCGAGTGGTAGGCCAGGTTCCCCCGGCAGGTCCGGGCCGTCCTCCGCGTGCAGCTGGAGTAGGAGCGCAGGGCGTCGCAGTAGGCGGCGTTCCCGTGCGGATCGTCCAGGTTCTCCGTGGCGGCCAGGAAGGCTGCGTTGCAGCGCAGAATCTTGCAGTGGGGGCGAACTGCGCAGAGAGAGCAGAAGGAACCAACCGGCCTGCGCTGGACCCACGGGAGGCTGCGGGCAGGGGGGGGGGGGCGTCTGCCATCGCCGCTCCCTCGGCTGCCCCTTGGCACTGCCCTTGCTCAACCTGAAGCTCGAGTGCTGGCAACCGACAGGCGGCGAAACCCGGGCTGGGGAAGCCAAGCGGATTCCTAGCGGGGACCTGTTGGAGTGCCCTGTAACCAGAGGGGGCCGGTGGGCCGGCAGGGATGCTCTTCCCGGGAGCCCCTTCCTACCGCTGCCCCTTTCGCTTGGCCTTGCCAGATGCAGGCACAGAGCACAGGCCCCCCCGTGAAGCCCCCACCCGAAAGCGCTCTCCAAGCGCTCCTCCTCGTGTGCATGAAGAGAGCTTTCCTACATGCAAAGCGTCTCTCGTTGATCTGGGCTGCAGCCACCTGCTTAGATAGCAATTTGGTGGGGGTCTCCTCACAAATGAGCAGCCCCCCTGGAGGTGGCAGCAGGCCCTTGTGAGGCTGGGCAGTGGCCCGGCCAGCTGCTCTTTGGAGGACCCTCGAAAGCCGCCACTTGTGCAGTATTAGCAGAACAGGGCTCCTTCCTTCTCACCCACCAAGCCGTCGCTCTCTGGACATGCACCCGCGGAGCCGGGTGGAGCCGGGGGTCAGACCAGGTGGCCCCGTTTCCGTGTGTTCCCCATCACGGCTCTTACCATGGCTGCAGAGCAGGAGAAGGGCAAGCACTTTAATGAGGAGCACGGGATGCGTTGGGCTGGACCGCCTCGCGCTGCACATGGGCTCCCCCATTCCGCTCCACTGCACGACCGCGGAAGTGGGTCACCCAGATCTCGCCTCGCCCTTTTCCCCAACGGGCTCACTGGAAGGGAGCAAAGGCAGCGCTCAGTAAGACCCCCACAACGGATCTCTTGCTAGATTCCGTGCACCCATCGGCACACCACGCAGCCCAGATGCAGAGCTGTCCAACTCCAAATATTCTCCGCACACACTCCCCCCACCATTCCTCACTTTGAGTTTTGCTTCTGGAAGAACCAGGGTCAAAAGTATCAGTGGAGTTGTTGTAAGCTTGGTATTCCTGAGGTTTAGGCAGTGTGAAGCCGAGGTCCCTTCCCTTCACGCCTCTGTGGAGACAATGCTCACCTCAGGCAACCGGAAGCCACCTTTCCCTAAGGCGCAAAGAGAAGACAAACCTCGGCTCCCCAGGAAGGCCCCAAGGGCGTATTCCCGAACAGAGAGCATTCTGCTCTGGGGTATTTCTTTTGATCAACAAAGATGGAAACATCCGGGCCCTTGCCTGCCGTTTTCCAGCTCCAGGATCAGGCCTGGGAAGGGGGTGGGGATGTGGTGGGTCTCGGACTGGCAGATGCAGCTCACAACCCGTGAGCGGCGTTTTCTGCCTCGCCATCGGGACCGCTTTTCCTCCTCACCTCAGAGCAGCACAGGAACCCAGCAGAATCGCCGTCGCATCGTCCCTCCCACCCCACGGGCGTCCCCTTTCCACCGTTCCGCCACTGCCGTCCTGTCCCAGTCGTGCCTGTGACCTTCTCCTGAAGTCAGCAAACAACGGCCTAAACTTTGCCCACACTTCTGGACACACAACAGGAGCTAATGATCAACAGGTTGGCCCCTGCGCCAGCTGGCCTGGGAAGGGGGTTGCGGTGCTCGGTGCCCACCATGAAGTGCAGGTCGTTCACTCTGAGCTTATGGGATGGAGCAGAATGTAGCTCGGGGCCAGCTCCTCCCTCATCACAAGGTGCTCCGTGACTCAGGGAGCGGCTCCCGCATCCTTGCGCATCCCAGCAGGCCCAGCGCTGCGAGGAGAGCTGCCAGGTGAGCCACGATGCTTCCCACTGGGGCCGTCCACGGGTTCTGAGCTGAGAAGAAACCAGGCCTCCCAGATTCCTGCTTCAGCTTTTCTCGAAGGCCCAGAGGTTGTGGTCCCTTTTTGGTCTCTGCTTGGGCCAAGGAGAGCCACGGTGTTCCTTCTTGAATTGCAGGATTTCCCCAACTCAGATCCCAGCTTTCAGCTGGACAAAAACTGTGTAACTTCGGGGCTTTGTGAATCGCCTCTAGGTAAAGGGTTAAACACCCCAAGAGGGGTTCTGCCCGCTTCTTCCCCAGCAAACGCCTCAGTACTTTTGGTGGATCTGCCAAGGCAAACAGGGCTAAGCACCAAAAGCTGCACCTGAAGCAGGCTCAGAATTCGGAGACTTAACAGAAAAGGGCAGAGGAAGGGGATGATGCAGGTAGAGCCCAAACAATCAAGGGCTGAGGGAGGGCCATCCCAGCAACTTAGTTTAGGAAAAGATGAGGAAGGGGAGAAGATGGGGAGCACAAAATGGTGCCAGTGGGGGAGAAAGTGGGTGGGAGGCAACTTTCCTCCTCTCCCATAAGGCCAGACCCCAAAGGGGTCACCCCATGAAGCCAAGTGGTGTGAGATTGTGGAAGGACCAAAAGAGCTCCGGGATTCACTCCCATGAGATGCCGTGCAGGTTTCCAGGTTGGATGACTTTAAAGGGGCTTTGGACAAATGGATGGAGAGTGTAATTGCATGTTCAACAAGGGGGCCTCTGAGCATATCTACAGTCCCATTCTGGCTCCCACCAAGCAGCTTCCACTTCATCTGGAATACTGTGTCCAGTTCTGAGCACCGAGATTTAAGAAAGGTGCAGGAAAATTGGAAAGGGTCCAGTGGAGGGTGACAAAAAAGATCCAGGGTTTGGAAGCGCTGCCCTGTGAGGAGAGACTGAGAGAACTGGGCATGTTCAGCCTTGAGAAGAGAAGACTGAGGGGGGCATGAGATCCCTCTAGAAGGACCTCAAAGGCTGCCACAAAGGGGAAGGTCAAGATCTCTCCTTGCTGATGCCAGAGTGTGGGACACGGAATAATCAAGTCAAGCTGCGACAACCCAGGTTCAGGCTGGACACCAGGAAGAGCTTCCTCATTGTCAGGGCAATGGGACAGTGGGACCAGCTGCCTGGAGGGGTGGGGGGCTCTCCCACACTGGGGACATCCAAGGGGAAACTGGGCAGCCCTCTGAGTGGGGTGGTGTTACTTGGTGTCCTGCAGCAGCAGGAGGCTGGACCCGAAGGCCTCTATGACCCCTTCCAACTCTGCTATTCTATGATTCGTTGTTGTTAGTCGTGAGGTCGTGCCCGACCCATCGCGACCCCATGGACAACACTCCTCCAGGCCTTCCTGTCCTCCACCATCCCCCAGAGTCCGTCCAAGCTCACGCCAACTTTTTCAGGGACTCCATCTCGCCCCTCATCCTCTGCCGCCCCCTTCTTCTTTTGCCGTCAACTGCCGCGCTGTGATTCTATTATCTAGGAGGTGCCACAACCAGAGCGAGGGGGACAAAACTCCGTGGCTTCAGGCTCCTTCCCTCGCAGTGCCGCCTCCAGGCCTTGCGCCCCACAGTGGGAGCAGGGCAGGAAGTTGCTTCTCTCCCCCCACAACCCGCCCCCCGTGAATTTCAACTGAATGTCAGTTGCGTTTGGGGTCATCCGTGGCTCTGAATAAAAGTGATGCAGGCAAGAAAGACTGGCTCTTCTCCTGGGCGGTTTGAGTCAGCAACACGATGGCTTTCAGGTAAGTACAGGTGACTTAAGGCCAGGGATTTCCTGAGGCAGAAGAATGAAAACCATCAAACAAACTCTTTGCTCATTGACCTTTTCCCCAAGAACGATATCTGGGCCTGCGAATTTAAACCAGCATCAAAGAAAGCTTTTCCTGCAAGGATCTGAAGGATGTTCTGGAAGCGCTGGCTCAGACCCTGGCTTGCAGGGGGACTGCTGATCTCCTTCTGCAGCCTTCCGTTTGGGGTCTAAAACAACCCACAGAACTACATTCTTATGCAAACTTGGGGGAATCAGTTCCCCAGGCATGTTCCAGTTTTGTGGGGTTCAACTGCAAAAGGCAGGAGGGAGACGGGGCGACTATGTCTGACTGGCCGGGTGTCCACAGTGCCCTAGAAGGACTAGCCTGTCGGTCTGCGCAGGTGTGACTCTCACAGCAGAATGTGAGCCTGGGGTGTGCGGGATGTCCCAGGCGATGCTTAAAGGCAGCGGCAGAAGGTGAGGAGGCACGGCGAAAGGCAAGGCTCCCGCGCCTTCAATGCCTGAGGAGAGAGGAGCTTTCACGCCTGCAGAACCTCCATCTCCTGCAAAACATTTATTTATTTATTTATTTATTTATTTATTTATTTATTTATTTATTAAAACATTTCTATGCCGCCCCTTGCCAAAGCCTCGGGGCGGCTTACAACACAATAAAATACAATAAAATACAAAAATAACAATATAAAATTAACAATATAAAATAAATAACAATGTAAAAGAAGTCGCCCTGGCCAGATAAATAAGCAAATATTGGTAACAATTAAATTTATGTTTAAATAAAAAGGTCTTCACCTGGCGCCGAAAAACAAATAACGACATCGCTGCATCCTTGCAGATTCTTAGCCTTGCAATGCCGCTACATTCCAGTAAAACTCCCAGCAGCAAAGGTGGAGAAATCTAAATTTCTTTTTTTATTTATTTGCACTTTTGCAGCCCATCATGATGACCACATGACTTTCCGGATGGTTTATGCAACTCAAACCATCAACAAAATACAATGAACAATATATTAACCAATTCAGTAATAAAACATCAGTACCAATAAAAACATCCATTCCAATAGCAAGAGCACCGACCATGTTGGCATCGTACACTAACAGATTGGACAACATCTTATGAATAATAATTAACATATTAAAACTCATCCATTAAAAATAGCAACCTGAAATTAAAATTGAGTTCAATGATCAACAATTGAAATACTCCAAGAATACAAATGTCTTCGCCTGGTGCCGAAAAGTATACAAAGAAGGCGCCTGGCACACGTCTCTGGGGAGCCGATTCCACAGATGGGTCAGCCCAGGTGAAAAGCCGTAGCCCAGGTGGCTGCCTGCCCAGCATCCTTATAAGGCGGCTCCTGGAGCAGGACCCCTGATGAGCACCTTAGGGTCCAGGTGGACTCCTACGGATGGAGACAGTATTTCAGATATTCAGGTCCTAAACCATTTTGGGATTGATACGTTAAGAGGAGCACCTTGAAGCAGCTCTGGACTTCGGTTGGCAGCCATTGCGACTGATAAAGGACTGGTGCTCCATGTTTTCTGCTACCAATCAGAGCGGCCACATGTTGCACCAACGGAAACTTCTGGACCATTTTCAGGGACTGCCTGAAACGGTCATGATGGGGCTCAGGTGAGTCCAGCCGCAGCCCAGCCCCCCCACTCACCTATCCGCATGTCACCCTGAACCCAGCAGAACTGATTCCTGCGAAGGCAAGCGCAGAGTTGCGCTGCCGACTGCGCACTGCAAGGCGCAGAGTGGATTCAAGCCGTGTACACTCAGGACTGATCCTTTGAGGAAGAAGGGCGTCCTCACATCCGGTCACCTGAGGGTTGAAGCTCTTGGTACTCTTGAACATGGAAACAGAAACAGAGCGAGTCAGAAGGGGTCTCCCGGGCCATCTAGTCTGACCTCTGGCACCAGCAGCAGTGAAGAGAGAGACCATTGGGTTTAACACGGCTGCCTGCCTCCCCAGCATGTCCTTCCAGTCCCTGAACAACCTGGGACGACTCCGCCAGACAGGTGGGTCGTCCCTGCACCCCAGCATCACCTGTTCTGGCCGGCAGCAGATCCCCAGCCTGCAAATAGGTGCCAGGTGCTTCTTACCTTGTTGGCAAAGAAATCAGTCTTGTAATGCAGGCCGTCCATGTAGAAGTTGATCCATACACATGGGAAGATCAGGCCACCTGGAGCAAGTGAGGCAAGACACATTGCCCTCTAAATACCCCCCCCCCCGAATTCCAGGGTCTACAATTACCTAGGTACCCCCTTGGCTTTCTCTCACCTGGTTTCTTGTTCCCTACACTCCCCTCCAGCCTCTAGAACCAGGAGACCTGGGCTCAGACCGGGAGCAGAGTTTCAACCTCCCCCACCCACCCTGGCTCCCCCTCCCCCAAAAAAACTGAAAAGAATCCAAGGAGAAACTATATCCTGACATGGACCCCCAACCAGTTCTGGCTCTCCAGATCGTTTGGCTGGTTCTCCAGCATGTTGTCTTTGGAGTAACACCCACTGATTTCAGCATCTCTGTTTCGCCTCCACTGCAAGCGACTTTCCCGGACCAAATTGCGAGGAGAGAGGAGGAGGCCCTTCTCCGAGCGCAGTTCTTCAAGGACGCAGCAAGGTGCTGGGCAGCACCTGCCTGCTTAATTCCAGCCAAACCAAACGGCAGCAGACGTCAGCACCCAGCAGAGAGAAAGATGCCCGGCAGCTTGCAGAGCCACCGTGATTGACCTTGGCGTTGGACCTGATCCAACACTGGAAGAACGGAGACACGCGACTCCTTGGCCAAGCAAGACTTTCTGAAGAAGTTGTGACTTCCGGCAGAGGAGCAGGAGGAGGAAACAGTGGAGCCGTGCTCTTGGCGAGCAACCCTGCTCCTCTAGGAGAAGAAGGATGCAATGCTGC